GCCAAACTGAGCTATTGGGGGAGAAGAGCCTTGGTGAGAGAGGTACAGAAGGACCCAAAGATGACTGTGGCTGAGCTCCAGAGATGCAGTCGGGAGATGGGAGAAAGTTGTAGAAAGTCAACCATCACTGCAGCCCTCCACCAGTCGGGGCTTTATGGCAGAGTGGCCCGACGGAAGGCTCTCCTCAGTGCAAGACACATGAACGTCCGCATGGAGTTTGCTAAAAAACACCTGAAGGACTCCAAGATGGTGAGAAATAAGATTCTCTGGTCTGATGAGACCAAGATAGAACTTTTTGGCCTTAATTCTAAGTGGTATGTGTGGAGAAAACCAGGCACTGCTCATCACCTGTCCAATACAGTCCCAACAGTGAAGCATGGTGGGAGGTCTGAATACTTTCCGTACCCACTGTATACAGCACCAGTTCTATAATTATTAAATTGGCAAAGTTTGTTTTTTACTGAAACGTGTCTGTAGCACCAAGCCTCACAAACACCCTTAAAATACTGAAACATGACAACAAGCACATGGATAACAACTGATTTATAGCATGGTTTTTCAGGTTGTAGTTCTCGTGTTCGGACAATCCATGTCTGACAACGTTGGCTTCTTTTATTAATTGAAAAGAAAATCACAAGCTGCATCTTTTAAAAACCATTGAAGATATTTTAAACTCAGCGAGGTCTTCCTGATTAAACTAAAGGTAAAATAAGACTAAACAGTTTCATAATTGAGGCTGTAAATGGCACAGTGTTCAGGTTACATGCCTGTAGAGGAGAGGCATGATGCTGAGACTTATGATGGGAGACTAAACTGTGGGAAAGGAGAATGAGACTGAGAAAAGGGAGAAGAAGTAAAGACAATGAAGAGGAGTTTTCGCTCAGTGTGGGAACCTGGCAGAATCTCATTAACTTTCTTCCTGGAGACCAGTGTGTGTGTTTTGGCTGGTGTGGTGGGTGGGGCAGCAGCAGCTAGCATAACGGAATGTCCCGGGGGCTTTTCCTTCCTGCCTCGGTCTAGAGAGAGAGTGGGGAGGCTGGTTAGGGGACTACGGCCGAGAGCCCCCGCACAAAGCCTGGTGGTGTCGCTCTGTGTGTCTGTTTGTGTGTGTGCGTGCTCAGCGGGGCTCTGGTCTTCTGTCCTCCACAGGACGGAAAGGAAATGTGAGGCCACTGGGCACAGAAACGCATGCCTTCCCCCGCCGGTGGAGTTGCTATGGGCCTGGTCTGTGTGTTCAGGGGTATGTGGCTCCAGCTGAACTGAGAAGTTGGATTATTTGACTCCACATTTAGATCTGTTTCTGCAACACAACTGTCCTAATTTAGATCATATTTGTGTGATGGCAAAGGTACACTTGACTTTATGCACAAAAACTACATTTTTAACCCCACATGTTCAGGTGTCCACATACGTATGGTCATGCAGGGGGTTAGCAGCAACAGACTTTAGTTTGTGGTTTACATGTTTGTGTTTTGGCGTGTGTTTGGTGTTTTGTTAGTGTGTTTAGATGTTATTTTGGTGTGTGGTTGTGTGTTTAGTTTTTTGTGTGGCTTTACTGTGTGCTTGATTGTGCCTCATTGTGCGTGTTTAACTGTGTTTGTGTGAGTTTGGTGTATGCTCGGTTGTGTGTTGTGTTTAGAGTGTGTTGCACTAAACAGTGAGCCTCCGTCATCATGAGCTAACGAGTCCTGAGAACACACAGCTCTGGACAGCGGAGAGGCTAATTGCACTAATTAACCACACGGCGTGTGTGTGTGTGTGTGTGTGTGTGTGTGTGTGAGACAGTACGTGTTAACATGTGTCTACTGAATGCACACACTCTTATTTTGTGTGTTAATCTGTGTATGCGTGTCCCTTTTCACATCCCATTAGACGAAGTGCTGTGCTCCAGCACTGAGGCATGCTGGGTAGATAATTAAACATGAGTCCCAGTGAGATGGCTTGTGACAGGGAAACACACACCACACACACTAAATATGTCAGCCAGAGCCCAGAAGCATTAGGAAGTGTGTGTGTCTGTTAAATTAAACGATAAAAACTACACCAGCCAGAGGAAACGCTTTCATACATCCACTGGTTCTACTGTTTCTACTGCTGCATTTAACACAGGCTCCACGCACCAAGTGAAGTGTGGAGACAGAACTCAGACCTTTGTGCTGTTTCACATTCTTTGATTATTTTTAATCCAATTTCAACATGAAAGTACATGAAAACTGTGATTTAATTTGAAGTCAAATATTTTCTTTGTCTGTTGATGCTTTAATAAATATCTTTAGGATGGACTGCCAGTAAAATAAGGTTCAGACATTCATCTTCCCTTAGCAGTGAATTCTCGGACCTTTAGCGCCATTAGCAAGTCAAAATTTGTCTAATACTTTGGTTTATGACCAAATACCTGCAACTAATGAAATTCTACCAGAATTACTTTGTGTTCAATGCCAATTAGCAAACGCTACCATGTTAACAAGCTTTCTTTTTTCACAGGATTTGGTGACTTTTGATCCAATTTTCAACATGACCTGAGTGCAAAAGAGTCTGAAGTTAAATTTAAACAACCCTGTACATATTCGGCATAAAGAAAGGAAAAGTTGGGATGTGACATTTAGCAGTGGGGTGAGATTTTAAAAATATTATTTTAACCGAAACCATGATCTGTGCCTAAACCTAACCAAGCTGTTTTTGAGTCCACACCTTGCCAAGCCGTTACAGGAGCACCGTGTCATTCTAAGGGGGCTGGCTATTTATATTTCAGGAGATGCTCCTATGTTGTTGTTTAGGCTGAAAGACGTGTTGGTTGACTAACAGCTTCATCAGCTGCTGTGTTTTTGCTGTCAGGTCTCGGTCGCTGCTGGAAACGGAGGGGCGTAATGTGATTTTGTTTGCGGTCACTCAGGGAGCCGCACTGGGCCCACTGTGCTTCTCTGGTTTCCTGCCTGTTGTTTAAGCTCAGGACACCCTGCATTGTGTTTCTGCCTGTTTGTTGTTTGCGTGTAGTGTCAACGTTCCCCCCGAATGGTTGCTTTGTTAGGTCGTCTTTACAAATGCGGTGAGTTTCCTGTCTCAAACTGACTGACCGTTTATCACTGGACAGTCCCAGAACAAAGTGAGCACAGAGAGCTGAAAGGCAGCACACACCCCCCGACAGTCACATCAGGCTAATTATCATTGTTACCAGCAAACAACACCAGAAACCTCAAGAGAACAGTCAACGTCTGATTGTTTTTGGTTTTTGTAGCATACATAAAAAAAAAAAATCATGCTGCTGATTCTCATGTTCAACTGTATTTTTGAATTTGAAAATAAAAACTGCAAAATCATGTTATACAACATGAATCCCCTGATAACGACCTGGATAACAGGCCCTAGAAATTAGCATTATTGTTCCAGCAAAAGCTGCATGTAAACAATGAGCTATTCAATGTCAAAATGAGGCATTTAAAAACCTCTGTTTAAATATTAAATACAGTGACTCATCTGACATTTGATGGAGAGCTTGAAGCTTTTTTTTGTGACTGCCCAAAAATCCTAGATTTCTGTCAAAATATTCAAAAGGATTATGTTAACTTTACATATCAATCTGTCTCTAACCCCATCCTGCCTACAGATATCAAAAATATAATTACCTAGATTTAATTATTAAAAATGTTTTATTTAATCTGCTCACCCTAAATAAAGTTGCAATCTCAAAATACTGGAGATTGGACGGAAAGGGTTAAATTA